TTCAAATCTGTCATCAATTTGATCATCTGGTTCCTCATCAAGATTGTCAAAGCTACCAAGCAATGTATGGTGAGGTAAGAGGTCTAGAGCATTCATCTGTGTCACAAGGTTGTTCAACCGTGCTCTTTGCTCAGCTTCTGGATTAGGGCCTGCTGAAAGCAGAATTTGTTAAGAATATATAATAAGTACTCAGGTGTATCACAGTATAGTGGAAACGACTGTATTGAGTCGGTACACTACCTGTTAAGAATATATAATAAGTACTATCAGAAAAGATCATTTAAGATACGAAGATAGTCATATAGAGTATGGAGCTCACCTCAGGCGTATCACAGTATAGTGGAAACGACTGAGGTGGGCGATAGGTAAAGATAAGTATAAATACGTGTATGGCGTTTCAGGAGGGAAAATAGTATAAGTATCGGAAGCAGATAAGAAAGGCGGCCAGAGGTAATGATCAAGTATGGATACAAATAGATAGATATAGAGATAGAGAGGAATGATATACTAGTCCGATGGAACGGCGTGAGGAACGGTTTCGCAACAGAATTTCTTGGCCATCTGAGTCAATATACTTGCCCTCACTATCTTGAAAAACATTATCAAATAGTTCTGGTTAAGCTAGAACTGGGAAATCAGGTATTGTTAGCTGTACTTGCTCTTGGAAGCAATGGGGTAATGATAGCATTGCTGACTCTACAGTTGGCATTGTATTAGTAGCACCAGAAATGGCACCTGGGTCAGCATCCCAGATTGCTAGTGCTGCCAGAGGCTTGGCGGATTGCATATGTTTACCCTTGGACTTTTTGCCAATGCTTTTGTTGCTGTAATGTGCATCACAAGGCTGACATATTATGCGTCCGCTATCATTTGGATCATTTTCGAATAACTCTGATCATAAGGTCAGCATATTGTTACATTACTTCATACCAAAACCTCTACCTTCAAAAGAATTTTTTCCGGGGACCATTATCTTCAATCGGGGTAAGATTTTGACAATCGGGTAAGGTTCCAAGCATGGCTGCACATTGGATTTGGGGGTATTATTTACATATGATGGGTAACCTCGCTTGGGTGAGCAGTGAACTTCTGTTTCTTTCACTGCTTCATGTCTGACTCTCTTATTTTTGACAATGAACACTATTATTCCAGTGCTGTAAATCAAGTTGGTAGGCCCAAAAGCCCTCTTCATGGCCACAGATACCCAACAACTGCGGGCAGTGATTATGACAATCTGGGCTCAGGTATGTTGCTTCCAAGCTCACTTTCAGTCAATGCTGACCAAAGTCTCATGATCCTTACCTTTATTTTTATCCGTGCTACACTTTTAGATAATTTTATGTTCAACACACCCCTTTCTATGCCAACTCGGATGCAAACCGTTAGCAACACAAGCAGCCAACAATTTCCGTATGTTTCTTCCAACCTCACTGGAGCAAACAATAATTGCTCTCATGGCTCACTCAGTTTTATCACTAAGAGGGTACTAACATTCAGGCCAAGTTCCCAGGCTTCTCCTGTTGCATCTGACCATGCACCTCTCGTTGGCTCTGGGAGCACTCTCAGCAACAGAACCAGAATATCCAGCTTTTCTCCCACTACAAACGAAAATGGAGCAGTCACATTGGGCAAGCGGTCATTACCAGCGGATTTAGATCAAACAGCCCTTGCTGTCTCTCGAAACATCAAACTGAAGCCTGATAGCGAGAAGGAGCTCAAAAAATTTGTTAGTGTATGTGTTTATTCATCTTTGAGTGCCAATATTAATGTTCATGTAGTTATCTGAGGGCAAGCAGCATGTTTGGCTCGGTGGATGGCTCCTTCAGCTTCAGGAAAAATGTAATGGAATTGACCCTCCGGACTCAACATATAACATCCCTAAAAAGCTCCAGGTATGTTTCTTGCTTCTTGCATGCATTGTATCATTTTACTATACAGTTCCAGGTTGCTATCAAGGCTGCTGTCATTAAAACTCTTCTTGACCCCGGACTTCCTGGATATCTCACAGCTATGGCAAAATTCACCGTAACGATTTTTTATTCGATCATTTCTCAGACTTAAATATTTTTACAGGCTTACCTCACTGCAGATGCATCGTGCGATTACCCAAGCATAAAGGACGACAGCACAAAAAATAATGTTGTCATAAGTGCAGCTCGCAGCAAGTTCGACCCTTTCCGCTGTGATTAAAAGAAATGTGTAGGTATTACTATACCTCATGCATGTCCCATTCTAATGATTTCCCTCAAGATGCAAGTCTCTTTTGTGTCGGAGAAGAAAGCCGAGCCAGATAGCGTTCTGCAGCTGGGTGAGGTGATCATCAATAAACTTGGTGCAAGTGCTGGTACCAAGGTAACGCTTGCACTTGCTGCTCATATTGCATTCTTGGTCTGTATTCCCGCCATTTGCATCCTCAATCTGTGCTAATTATAACTTCTGTCAGCGTAAAATATATGTCGATAATTGTGATGAGAAAGGTGTTTGTGATGATTCATTTTAGAAACATGTGGACAAAAAATCTCCAGAAACAGGAGCGGAGGCAGATATCCATGCATGTCACATTTCTTTTACTTCATTTCCTCATTGCTAATTGAGCCGTTACAGCACAATCAGGAATATTTTGGAAGCCGACTTCAATTCATATGGCAATGTCAATTTGGAGGGGCTGCTTGATGAGGACTGACTTTCTCAACCCATGGGTTTTTGTTCTGGCATTCACTTCGATACCAATGACCTTCCTTTATCTTTGCTTCATGTACGTTCTCTTATATCTTCTATTATGCACCTATCTAATACCAATTTCTCGCTTACATTACCTAACTAGCTTTATTCCTACTTGCTTGTGATCCATTTTGAATGAATGAAATCGTCTTTCAACATTTTTTCGGAAAACGGTGAAATAAAGAGAATGGTACAACGTGAAAGTGGGTGCAAATATTGATGTCAAAGCAGTATCTACCATGCTCAAAGCAGAAGGAAGGTGAGGATTCTGACCGATTCTTGAAGCTAATTAGAGCGTGATTCAAAGGTTCCACCAAGGGCGCCTTCCTGAAGGCTGGAGGAAGGGTAGAATTGAGGTAAGCAGGACCTTGTAGATAAGCATCCTGACAGGTGGGGCGAAGAAGCTCCGGATATCCAATTCATTACCTTCCTGGAACCTCCGACGCAAATGGTGGTGTAGACCACCCACTAGACCACCAACGATAGCACCAGCATTTGAATAGTGAGAGTCGCCGTTCCCTTGCATTGGAACTTGAATTGAAGTAGCTGTTGGCAATGCGGAGCCAGTATCCGCGAAGTCTGGCTTCCCAGCGAGTGACTGAATGTAAGGTAACCGAAAACGAATGTCTGATACCCGACCGCGTCAGTGACAGTCATGAGAAGGGTATCGTTGCTTGATATAATGTTGGAAAAGAAAAATTGATGATTCGGTGTTTCCTGATGAGACGACGTTGAGCCAGAGATACTGACGACCGAGGTGGTGGCTTGGTTGTCTAGAGTAAGATTGAGCGTAAACGGAGCGTCAGGGCAATATAAAACTACGTACCAGGAAGTTGGAATTCGAAAGACTTTCCGATTGAGTTTGTACGATGAGATGAATGGTGGTCCATTTGCCCACCCTCCGTTCATCACCGGAGACGCGTCACTTAGGCTCCATCCACTACCTTAATATTCGATCTCGGTACTAAGATCATCCACGATGATGGTTCAAGTACTCCCTAGAGATGCAGTTTGGCCCACTGTACAATAGCGTAGTCCACATCCACAACAAGGCTTGACAAGTTTACTGTATGCAACCCGTCGTCCAGGATAGGATATTCATACCACTGTGTGTAGTATTGCGTGGAGCCAGCATTCGGGAACGTGCTGTTAACTTCTTCACCCGAGTGAATAGAAACGAGGAACCAGGTCGGAGAATTTGAGTTGGACAGAGTTGAAGCTGTGAAGGATACAACAGTTCCTGAGAAACTGGAGTGTGTATATGATTGTATGAACTGGACGTCTAAACCTACCTTGAAGGGTGAATACAAGTTGCCCTCCCGGCGAACCAATATAGGTAGAGGAATTACCCAGCTAACGACCTGCAGTATCCGAAGAGTTGGCCCAGGAAGCATTAGAGTTGATGAACGACAAGGATATTTGGCTGTTGTCCAGCAGTAGCCAAACGTCTGTCGAGTTCAAGAACGTATAGTGTGCGAAATAGTTTGAGAAAAGACTGAAATTGGAACATGGCAAGTCTGCGTTCAGTGGGAAGCTGAACTCAAGGTCCCCGGCCTCAATGAGCAGACGGAAAGGACTCGGATAATTATGTGCCTAGAATCATTCAATTGCGCCTCTATCCGTCGACGCCGGAGCTACTGTAAGCAGACTAGGTGCCCTTGTTACGAGCTCGTAAGTTGCAGACCAAGTGTTCGTTCAATTAGTCCAGAATGCTATGCTCCATAACATAAACAAAGCATATTCGATCTTCGACCCACCGCTATTTGCTTTTCACTTTACAATATCATTTCGCACATGCAATAAGTACACACTATAGCAACGAATAACAAGCAGAATCAGTTTAGTACATAGCCAGTAGAGCAAGTCACACCAAGCAATATCATTAACCAGCTACATACGGACATACATTCAATCGATATATTCACCTCGCCCGAGAACCGAAGCTAGCAGAAATCCCACCCGCCCGAGCGGCGGGTGCTTTCCTTCTGCGAATCATCCAAGCTAACGCTCGGACCCCCCCAGGCCACAGTTTCGTTTCCACAGTGAACAGAGATGAGCGGTGTCAGACGAAGCTGGACGTAAGAAATACGTTTGAAAAGCAGCAGCAAGATGCTCAGTCTTTCAAGGACCAAGAGCGATATGACTAATCGCTGCGAATTCCTGATAACAATATTGGCCCATAAGGATATTTTGGCTCTAGTTCGGGTTCTTCAGAATGCAATACTAATATCTGAGTCGGGAGAAAGAGGAAAACTATTAATGGACAAAAATTAAAGTGTTACACCGTTCGGGAATCGAACCCGAGCCGCTTGCTCATATAATCAATATGGAAGGCAAGCATGATAACCACTTCACCAACGGTGTTGTACCTTGTTGCTCCGCTGTGTTACATCTCTGCCAACGAATAGATAAAACAACAACAATTTCTTTTCGTTCCTCTCAACCCCAAACCATTATACACCAAATAATTGTTAAAGAAGTTCAGGAACCGCTACTACTTTCTCAAAAGCTTTTCAAGGTCTCCCCACGCCACTATCGTTTACCCCGTTACATTTTTGCACAGCACCGCTTTTCATGACACTAATTAGATGCTTACCTTGGTTCCAATCATTCCTAGTCTGGATGTTTGTTGGCGCAGCCTGTTGACATTGACGCTCGACAGTCCGCCAGTCTCCGCATCAAGCCGTATCATATTTTTATCAGAAATTCCATCAAAAGATGCTATACATCTTGCCTGGCAAGTCGCGCTCGGGTCGCGCTCGAGTCATCGACTGTCCATTCATGATCCAACATAAATCACGTATCAGCACTACATAGTGAAATGTTTCCAGAATTCTCATCTAGGTCGATGACTTGACGAAGGACACTCAGGTTCACGGTGTAACACCAAACAATCTCAGTTTGTTACACCGGTCCTTTCAGTCTTCAACAACTTTTCGAACAATTATGGAAACACAACCAGCTGTACATTAATCTGTACAGCAAGAAATCGACTAAGTGTTTCACTGTCACAGATCACAGCTATTCAAGCGTATCCGAACTGCGTGGTGTGTCATTTTTGATTTCTTTACATTCCAAGCAAGTAAGCTAGTAACCTAACCACTATCCCCAGACGACCCCTTGCGCAACAGCATTTCTGGGTTACATTACTACTAGGGAAACCCGAAAGAAAGCTTACATAGGACAAGAATCTATACATCTCAAAGCTGTACTCCCAAGAGTGGTTCCCTACCTGAGACGCGAGCGCTGCCTGGCCGTACATAGTGTGTGGTACCGCTTCCGATACTGTGACTCCTGCTTCGTCGACATGATTCAGTACAAGGTTTGCTATCCGCATTAGAATGATCTCTTGTTATAAAGACTGGAGATTATCGCTGACTCGTTATCATAATCTTTCTTGCCAGTACATCTCTCAAATCCGAGATGCTTCTCTCCTCCACTTCCAACGACCTCAACCTCAAGACGCACCTGTCTATCCTCCAGGATAGCAGTGAGCGTTTCGCGCACTCTGCCGCGTTCAAGATTCCTTCAACGGAATCAACTTCGAGCGGAATTCCTCGATGGGACACGATCACATTCAAACAGTTCCACGACGATGTAGAATTATGCGCCAGACACTGGGCACGTCAGTTAAATGTTAGGGGTGGCGTCCCGCCCAAGTCGGTGGTGGGACTATGGATCGGAGGTTATACCTATTCTGATGTACTCCACATCTACGGTATCTCAAAAGCAGGATATGTCCCCCAGCTTTTCAGTCTTCGTCTCCCAAACCCTACTGTCATCTATGAGCTCCTCCAGAAGGCAGGAGCCAAGGCACTTGTATGTGACGAGGGAACACTAAGTTCCATCGCCGGCCAGGCAACCGACTCCCCCGTACCAATATTCACAGCTACCTCTCTCTCCAATATAGAGCTTTCGTCAGGAAGCTTGCTTCACGAAATTAATGATTCATATCTAACATCCGAGGAACAACCTATCAACCCCTCGGATTGTGCGTTTGTGTTCCATACGAGTGGCTCAACATCTGGGAGTCCTAAGCTAGTCCCTTGCAACTACCGTTGGCTCGATGCAGTAGCTCGCAAAGCTAGTCAACTTTGTGTTCCAATCGGTCGCAATGGTCAAGATGTCAGTACTTGGATGTAAGTTCTGTTTTTCATTTATTAGTATTTCATAGATATTGACGGCGTCACTATAGTGGAAGTATGTGTCATATAGGTCAAACAACCATGCTCATTTGCCTAATGCAATACGGTACTTGCATCGTCCAGCCCAGACGATTCCCCTATCCCGCAGACGAACTAGCCGCCATGGTCGAACATTGCAACGTCAATCGTATATGGCAATTCTCCGCCTTCTTCTCTGCGCTTTTACGAACCGCACGGCAGAACCCCCGATTCATCCGTGTTCTCGCAGGTCTAGACGAAGTAACTACATGTGGTATGGCTTTATCCAAGGAGGACCAGGACTTTGCTTATAAGTCTGGGGTCAACCTCCAGGAAATTTTCGGAAGTACGGAATTGGGTGGATCTACCCTCGTTTCAATAGGAGGAGAGGATCCCAATACTCGCAGACATCTGCGCCCATTGAGTGGCCTTGCATATGAGTTCCGTCCGGTTCATACATCTATGGACGAAGATGATCTTGAATTGGATAATGCTGGACACCAATCTACCAACCACTTGCTTGAGTTTGTGGTATCAAAAGATTCCGGTGACTGTCCCGACATTTCCTTGAGGAATCCCGAAGACGGTGACTTTCATACTGGTGACCTTTTTATCGAAGTCGGACCTGGGAGGTATATCTTTGTCGGGAGGGACGACGATTGGATTAAGACTGAGAACAGTCTGAGATGTGATACCAAGTAAGCATTCTCACTCCCTTTCTAGATATGCATATTAATCACAATATCTATCTAGATCCATCGAAGACAACGCCCGAGCAATGTGTGGCTCCCTTATATCGGACTGTATCGTCGTAGGAACAGGACGCCCCTCCCCTGTCCTCTTCATCGAAAATCCCGCTACCGATGTCGAGGTAAGCAAACTGAAGAAGGATATCTGGAGGAAAATACGGCCCTTCCATAAACGGAGATATGTCCACGAGAGTATCACCTCTGCTGAAATGATCATCGTGGTTCCCGTTGGCTCGTTACCCCGCACTGCGTCAAAGGGGAATATTCGACGTAAAACTGTGGAAGAGGATTTCAGGGCACAGCTCGATAAACTGTATGGTGTCTCGAACTTTTCATAAATGGTTTGGACTGGTATTGGTTGCTGTAATTTCATGTTTCGCACTCCTGGATCTATATTATTTCATTTCAAGTTCATTTGCCTGTACAAGTCATAGCGCTCTTCTCTTACACATACATAGCATAGCTGTATCCTTATACCTGAAACTCCAAACTTTTGTGTAGTAGTAGTTTCTCCTATTTAATCGATTCCATCTCTTGTTGTCTTTGAAGAATAATGTTCTCGTACATGCCAATGGAACACAACGAATGTACAACTGTGAAGTTGTGATAGTGAGTAGACACGTAGGTTAGGACATGATATGACAGAATATTCGCTCCATGCAGTATCTTCGGAATTGATCAATGTATAATGATTGTTAGTTCCATGAGACTGAGTGTTGTTGTGTGAACAGTGGAAAGAAATTTACCTACAGCCTCTGTCATATTAGATTATGTAGGATGTTGTACGATTAATCATGATAGTAGTGTGTCTGGCTTGACTATACCAGGGTAGGGTGTAACGTAGTTCACTCGGTGTCTGTTCATATTTGGTTCCTAGTTCGAAACTTCAGTAGGGTCATCGTCTAAATCAGCAACTCTAGTTTGACCCTGCTCGTCCCGTTCACCACGGCTATTATCATTTGTGTTATCAAGCTCCAACACACCCCTCGGACCCTTTTTCGCTACCGCCCATACGAACACACCTAACACCACCAAGAGCTGTAGCCAGAGCCAAGCTTCGAGGACAACTGAACGCACGCGTTGAACACTCGATGATTGTGGACGCTGGACTACGGCTAAGAAATTTGATTTTGACCTCGAATCTATAGAGGTGACTTTGCGAGAAGATTTGCCGCGAGAGGACTCCAAGGGATGTGATGAAGGGGTTCTCAAACTACCTTGAGGGTTCTTCTGTTGCTCTGTCTGTCGAGTAAAAGACGCTGTGCGAGCCTTCAATCTAGCACCCCCAGATGACCCAGTCCCTAACTTCTTCAGCTTCAAGCTATCCTGATCACTGCTCGCAGATTGAGCGACATGAAAGACATCGCTCAACCGCGGGCCCCACCTTCCTACGCGAGCCTTGACGCTCTGTGATAGAGAAATGCGTCTGGCGCGCACAGACTCGGGATTGGCTTTCGTTTTGGATTTCGACCAAGACATTTCTGTGTAATGCAAGGGACTAGCAAAAACGGCGGTACTAGTGGAAGTAGCAGTGGATCCGGATTGTATAGATGATGCAGAGGAGGAAGAAGAAGAATAATATGGGTCTTTGGATTCAGGTGTCGGAGGGGTAATCCGAATATTCGCAGGGGTATTCGCAGCAGACGGGAATTCGAATTGTGAATATTTCTGCGTATCATCAGAGTCATCGTCTCTGCCAAGTTCTAAATCTCCTCCTATCACAGGCGAAGTGCCCGTGCCCTCGGAGTGATCAGAGTCAAATGAGTTCCCTTCCAGTTCCTGGATCAACGAGTTATTCCGGCTCCTCAGGTATGAAGAACCCGAGAAGGGATTATAGTTTACATCTTTGAAATCCCCAATCTCGCCAATTTCACTCCCCAGCGTCCTCCTCCTTCGGTATTCACGAGGAAAGCCTGATTCTGACTGAGGACTGATAATCTCGTCATCCGAGGCGATATCAAACGACTGAGATCGGGAGTGATCCAGCGATATAGAAAGGTCAAGCTCGGAAAGCTCGTCGCTAGGTGAGAACATTGCGTTATTGAGAGTCGAGCGACGAGAAAGAAACTGAGGAGGAATAGGTGGAATAGCATCCAAGTTCAAAGAATCAGAACTGATATCGAGTTCATCAGAAGTCCTGCCCTCTTCTTCTCCAGTGGGAAACAATCCAACAACGCTCTTCCTGTCTTTCGTTTTGCCCTGAGTCAGGACAGAAAGGCGTCCAGAGAGCTGGGAACGTTGACCACGTTGACTACTTGAATCCAAGGGTACCTTGAGAGTACTATGCATCTCTTCATTGATGCCACACTCGAAACCACCTTCAACGTCCAGATTAACTGAACCGATGGAACGCAGGGAGCGCATGGTTCTCTGACTCCCATCGCTGCCTTCTAGGCCTAAATCCTTCAGGTAATCGGCAACAATTTCCACGTCGATAGTCTGCCCTTCGTTA